GAGCGAAGTAAAAACCGAAGATTACACACCGCCCCTGGTCGAGCAGGCGCGTTACAATTGGCGAAGCGGTTCCATAACATGTGGTTCTAGTGTCGGCCCTCGCGGAGGAATGTCTTAAAAATGATAATCCAAACCTCAATTAATCAAACCAAATTTGGGGTTGGGACATCCACTTTGAACCGAAAATTGCATACTATTAGGATATCCCAACTAATTGTCCCAATAAATATACTACAATATGTATGGAAAAGCAAGTCCATTCATGCAGTTTCTCAATGTCGGCTTTGAACACAGCGACCGACGGTCGGTATTGTGAACCACGTCTCGCCGTCGTCGGGCACGCGGACGATGTGGCGAACGAGAGTCACCTGTATTCATTGATACAGCGATATCTGGCCGATATCGCTGCGGCAGTGATTGCCGTTGACTCTCGTTCCCACGCTGCGGCGGACGCGGGATTGTCCAAGAGGCGCAACCGCATTACGCTATGCGGTCGCGCATATCGGACAAGAGTCCGCAGCAACAATTACACTCTATAACTTGGTGCGTGGGATTACAGAATCGCTGCGGTCAAGTAGGCTTGCAAGTACCGGCATCACCGACCTTGGGAAACTCAAAAACGTTAGCAAGGCGATGGTCACCATCGACATGCTATACCGCCGAAACCTCTGAAAAGTTAACTACAACTAGAGAGAGGCAAACACCGTTTACAACTCCGTTCCAGAGTGAACTTGACAACCTCTCGATGTCATACCATGCACTTGCGGCTTGAGGTCAATTGGGAAGGGGACAGCTACCAAAATGGAAGATTGTTTGGAGACAGGGACAAAAATATTTGGGAATGCGGTGGAGATGCTCTTAGGCCAGGTCTAGATGCACAAAAAATGGCATAAAATGGCCGTTTTTCGAAGGAAAGTTGCCAAAACCGAAATATTTTCCTTGGAGACATCCCAAAAACAGTGAACTGGCTCTAATTTAGGGATGGGGACAAAAATATTTGGGGATGCGGTGGAGATGCTCTAAAGTTACTATTAATATTAATATTATAAGGTAGGTGGTGGTCTTCCTATGAAACCCCACAAAGCGTAATCTACGAATAATATTCACGGTCACATGTTTAGAGTGGACAGATCATGGATGACGACGGCCTTGTTGATGACATAACGTTATAAGATCAAAGCGATAGCTTCATTGCGAATTTGACATATACCTGGGAACCGACAAATTGAAAGAGGATAGGAATTACTTTATTGGAGAGCCCGACATTTAATGCGTTGGGATTGGCTGAACGACAAGATTATTGAATTTCGATCGGTGATTGGACGATACATTAGTCGGTAAAGAACATAACTCGTACATTAAACATGTACATCCACCGATTGGTCGTGAGAGGCCGGATATAGATTCGATTGGCTAAAAATATACAGTCGTTACATATTTGAGAGAACAATATCCTCATTCAGCAACATGAATGCCTCCGCAGTACCGTCCAAGGCCACGATCCAAGGATCCTTCAGATCCAAGTCCACCCTTCGCACGTATCGAACGTACCAGAAACAGTTTGCTGAGTACTGCAAACAGCTCCCAGGGGTCGAGCCAGAGTCGGCGACGCCGAGTGTCTGCACAGATTTTTCCATCATCTGTACAGTCAGGGAAAAACGGCCCACACAGTCGATTCGGCGAAGACAGCCCTCGTGGCCTTCTTCCACGATCTCAAGGTCATCCCCAACCCTGCTCGTGATGTCGAATCAAAGCAATATGTCGTCGGCCTGCAAAAATACAACAAGAAAAAAGAACATTGACGACGAGAACAAGGCCCATCCACTTTCGGTGAATGGGCTCTCATGCCTGGTAAATTCGTTTTCTACCTCCCACCTATTTTTGGGTGCATTGTATAGATTTTTGTTTTCTGCAAGTTATCTTGGATGTTTTCGTATTAGTGAAATGCTTAACCTGACTTGGGATGAAATTTTTTGATGCGTGACGGGGAGAGTCAGTATGTATCTATACGATTGAGATGGCACAAGAAGGCCAGTGTTCAAAGTGATTGCCAAATCTATCATTTGATGGACGAAAAGTCCTTTCCCTGCCTCCGCGTGTGTGGCTTGTTTTCCGACTACGTCAATGTCGTCAAGCGTGCAAGCCCCAACCTGGCGTCTAAGTCCTTCGTGTTACCTGCCCATACGATGGAGTCAAATGGTGTGCCAAGGCTGAACTGGTTCAAGGCACTTGATCAAAATCAAGTACGATTGTACTTGAAAGTTGCTGTTCAGAAGAACTCCGAGCTACCAACACGTTAATTTGTCTTGTTCATATTAATATGCACTTTGTATTTGATGTTGTAATGACTATTTATTTGTTGTATAATTATTTCATCTATATTTATTTTGCATTGATTGGAAATTGTAGGAATTACGCTGCATAGCATGCGCCGTGGAGGAAGATTTTACCGTGTGTTCGAATCCCCCTAGCGCCGGTTTAATTTTCGACAGCTTATGGCGTGGTGTCGTTGGGAAGATGCAAAGACATGCTGCGAATATCTCATTACAAGGAACATTTCAAATGAAATTGACCCGCGCAATCTCTTGCGGGTCAATGCTGCAAACTACGAAACAAGTTTGAATGCCATGAGCATGCAAGCCTTGGGTGATGTCATCGTCAAAGGCCTCCAGGGGGCCATACAGTGCTCACCTGCGTTTGGCCCTGTGGCGAGCCTTGCGCCGACCCGACTGGCACCGGCGCCTGCCACGAAACCTGCCACGATCCCCCGACGGCAAGCGACGCTTGACTCCTTCGTTCTTCATGCAGTTGTTCCTACTGCACGATCAGCCATGGATGCGTGGAATCAGTGGTTTACCGGTGACCCACAATTGGGTTTGTTTCAGCCGCTGCGTTCCTTCACGAAGGAAATGATCCGCGCCGACCGTCCCAAGTACTCTGAGCACTTGACCCTTTCAAAGGCATTAGCGAAGTACGTTAGTTATGACATGTTTGAGTCAGCATATGAGGGTCATACAAGCTCATACAGCAATACCTTGAGCGAAGTCCGAAAGCGAAAGCCCGAAGGACGTCTCTAATGTCGCTTTGGCTTTTGTCAAATGAGCCTCCTGAAATCACACACTTAATTTGGCCAATCACGATCCATCAGGTCATAATTTTATCCAATCATACCAATGTCGGGCTCAAACGTCGTGGGCGACAAAATATATCTACATACCATAACGACTCGGACGTGAAAACCATTCGGACAGAGCTTCGGACGCAGAAATATTTGAGGAATTAATACAATTGTTACATACAAATTTCAAGCTTGCTTCACGTAATTA